TCACAGAAGAGCAGGTCACCTTTGCCAAGAGCACCGACACAACCCCAGACCATGACAGAGCCTGGCTGTTAGACTTGTTGCTGGGAACAGTCTGGATGATCCTTTTCTTCTTTGGTTTGGAGCACACAGCCTCCATTTCTGTCAAAAAACACCTGATTACAGTCCACGCCAATAGCCTAGTGGTTAGTGCGTCGACACATAGCACCAAGGTGCTCACGGCGGCCCAAGTTAAATTCCTGGCTCGAGGTATATATATATTAATATATTAATATTTTAGTTTAACACTAAACTTTGTTCTGGTCAACGCTGGACATGTTCACTCTGTAAAAACTAAAATTACTGAATGTAAAACTGAAGCTAGGTGGTGGCAGGGTGGTGTCGCACTGTGGCCTCACAGCAAGAAGATCGCTGGTTCGAGTCCTGACTGTGTCAGTTGGTGTTTCTGTGTGGAGTTTGCATGTTCTCCCCACGTCAGTGTGGGTTTCCTCTGGGTGCTCCGGTTTCCCCCACAGTCCAAACACATGTAATATGGGTCAATTGAATAAGCTAAATTGTCCACAGTGTATGAGTGTGTGTTTGTGTGTGTGGGTGTTTCCCAGTATTGGGTTGCAGCTGGAAGGGCATCCGCTGTGTAAAACATATGCTGGAATAGTTGGCGGTTCTGCTGTGGCGACCGCTAATGAATAAATGAACTGAGCCGAAGAAAAATGAATGAGAAGGGAAATATAGAAAAACTAAACAGAAGTGTGTTCAGAAAACTAAAACTCGAGTACAAACATTACTGAAACGAACTAAAACTAAACTAAGATGAACAGAAAATGTATCCATAGTCTTGAATTCTGTTTTAATGGATAATTCTGATGGTGTTTTTCTCTGGGTGCAGCTGTCGTCTCAGTACGGGCCGCTGTTTGGGCTTTATGCCGGGCCGCACCTCACGCTGGTGGTCAGTGAGATCGGTCTGGTCAGAGAAGTGCTGCTGCAGCGGGGCAGAGAGTTCGCCGGACGGCCCAAGATGGTGAGCACACTCCAACAAGCAAAACATGTGTCATGATTTACCCTGACATCTGAAGACTGTAAAAGCTGACATAGCAAACAGCTTTCTAACAAGCCTGAAGGACTCGGATCATTTGATCAGGTGTGACTAATTGAGGTTAGATCTAAACTGAGCAGAGCTGCAGGACCTGAGTTTGACACTACTGGATTATACACATTTCAGTGATAACGGAAGACTAGTTACCTCAGAGAAACGCAGAGCACCCATACACTGCAGCACTATTTAATGTCCTCCATAAAGCAAACATGTATCAGAGCTACAGCAAGGGATGTATCTCTCTCTGTGTGTGTGTGCAGGTGACCACCGACCTGTTGACTCAGGGTGGGAAGGACATTGCGTTTGCAGACTACAGTCCACTGTGGAAGAACCACCGGCGTCTAGTGCACTCCTCGTTTACACTGTTCGGCGAGGGCTCAAATAAACTGCAGACCATCGGTAAACTGAACACTCACAAGATTTGATTTATATTGATTTAACTTCAGATTGATTTAGATTGTGTGCACATTTACAACACAATCTTTTTAACAATTCTAGATTTTTGTATCAATTCTAGAACTTTGTAACATTTCTAGATCTTTGTAACAATTCTATTACAAACATTTCTAGAACTTTGTAACAATTTAAGAATTTTGTAATGTTTCTAGAATTTTGTAACATTTCTGGAACTTTGTAAAATTTCTAGATCTTTGTAACAATTCTAGATCTTTGTAACAATTATAGATCTTTGTAACAATTATAGATCTTTGTAACAATTATAGATCTTTGAAACAATTATAGATCTTTGTAACAATTCTAGATCTTTGTATCAATTCTAGAACTTTGTAACATTTCTAGATCTTTGTAATATTTCTAGAACTTTGTAACAATTCTATTACAAACATTTCTAGAACTTTGTAACAATTTAAGAATTTTGTAATGTTTCTAGAATTTTGTAACATTTCTGGAACTTTGTAAAATTTCTAGATCTTTGAAACAATTCTAGATTTTTGTAACATTGTAACAATTCTAGATCTTTGTAACATTTCATGAATTTTGTAACAATTTTAGAACTTATCTAAAACTTTGTAACAATTCCAGATCTTTATAAAAATTCTAGATCTTTGTAACATTTCTATTACAAACATTTCTAGAACTTTGTAACAATTCTGGAATTTTGTAACATTTAAGAACTTTAACAATTCTAGATCTTTGTATAATTTAAGAACTTTGTAACATTTCTAGATCTCTGAAATATTTAAGAAATTATTAACAATTCTAGAACTTAACTAGAGCTTAGCAAAATTTGGAATATTGTATTATTTTTAGGACAGTGAAAGATTTTTAGAACTGACTTACGCTTATAAACACGCAAATACACTCAGACACATACACACACGCACACACACTCACACACTCACTCACTGGTATGCTGTGTGTACAGTGCAGGAGGCGGCTGACAGTCTGTGTGAGGAGCTCCAGGCCTGCAGGGGTCAGAGTTCAGATCTGAGTGTGGTGTTGATGCGCGCCGTCACTAACGTGATCTGCAGGCTGGTGTTCAGCTCCTCCTATCAGCCCAGCGACCCCGAGCTGCAGACCGTCATACAGTACAACGACGGCATCGTGCAGACCATCGCCAGAGGGGGACTCGTGGACATCTTCCCCTGGTTAAGAGTCAGTAGCTCCGCTCAGATCACCGCTGCTCATTATCAGCTGATAGATTTAGAAAATAGATTTATACACAGACGTGGACAAAATTGTTGGCGTCTTAATTCTTTCCAGGTCGGCTTCAGTAGTTTGTCTTTTTTAACGCTTCTGTTGAACCACAGTTCGAAAGCAATGTCTGATTTACATTGCCTTATCTTCAGTAATTATTCATTAATCAGTCTCTTCAGTTTCTTGCTATTTTAGTAACCACTGTAGTTTCTCCTTCTTCAACAGAAGAGTGCCAACAGTTTTGTCCATGTCTGTATATACACTTTATTAGGTACACCACACTAGTACCGGGTCGAACCTCTTTTGCCTTCAGAACTGCTTTAATCCTTCATGGCAGAGATTCAGCAAGCTACTGGAAATATTCCTCAGAGATTTTGCTCCATATTGTCATGATAGCATCACACAGTTGCTGCAGATTTGTCGGCTGCACATCCATGATGCCAATCTCCCGTTCCACCACATCCCAAAGCTGCTCTATTGGATTGAGCTCTGGTGACTGTGGAGGCCATTTGAGTACAGTGAACTCATCGTCATGTTCAAGAAACCAGTCTGAGATGATTGAGCTTTATGACATGCTGCGTTATCCTGCTGGAAGTAGCCATCAGAAGATGGAGACACTGTGCTCATAAAGGGATGGACATGGTCAGCAGCAATACTCAGGTAGGCTGTGGCGTTGATGCTCAATTGGTACTAATGGACCCAAAGAAAATCTCCCCCACACCATTACACCACCACCACCAGCCTGAACCGCTGATACAAGGCAGGATGATCCATGCTTTCATGCTGTTGAGGCCAAATTGTGAGCCGAGCATCCGAATGTGTGAGCAGAAATGGAGACTCATCAGAGCAGCAACGTTTCTCCAATCTTCTATTGTCCAGTTTTGGTGAGTCTGTGTGAATTGTAGCCTCAGTTTCCTGTTCTTAGCTGACAGGAGCGGCACCCGGTGTGCTCTTCTGCTGCTGTAGCCCATCCGCCTCAAGGTTGGCCGTGTTGTGTGTTCAGAGATGCTCTTCTGCAGAGCTCGGTTGTAACGAGTGCTTATTTGAGTTACTGTTGCCTTTCTATCAGCTGGAACCAGTCTGGCCATTCTCCTCTGACCTCATCAACAAGGCATTTGCGCCCACAGAACTGCCGCTCACTGGATATTTCCTCTTTAATCTCTGTAAACCCTAGAGATGGTTGTGCGTGAAAATCCCAGTAGATCAGCAGTTTCTGAAATACTCAGAGCAGCCCGTCTGGCAGCAACAACCATGTTACGATCAAAGTCTCTTAAATCCCCTTTCTTCCCCATTCTGATGCTCGCTTTGAACTGCAGCAGATCCTCTTGAGCATGTCTACATGCCGAAATGCAGTGAGCTGCTGCCCTGTGATTGGCTGATTAGAAATCTGCGTTAACGAGCAGTTGGACAGGTGTACCTAATAAAGTGGCCAGAGAGTGTGTGTATATATTGAGTTTATACTGCATATTTATACAATATTCTGACCTTTGATCAGATTTTCCCCAACAAGGACCTGAAGAGGCTAAAGGAGTGTGTTTCCATACGAGACCAACTACTGTACAAGAAACTGCTGGAGCACAAGGTGCACACACACACACACACACACACACACACACACACACACACACACACACACACACACATATATATATATATTACTTTATGACTTTTGACCTCACAGAAGAGCCTGACACCTGGAGAGCCGCGTGACCTGCTGGATGCTCTCCTGATTGGTCAGCAAAGAGGGTCAGGTGGTGCTGATGACATCACAGAGGATCACGTGCTGATGACGGCGGCCGAGGCGTTCGGAGCTGGAGTGGAGACGACATCCACTACACTACTGTGGACCATAGCGTTCCTGCTGCACCACCCACAGGTACACACACACACACACACACACACACTTATTTAACATGTGTGTGTGCATGTGTGTTTGTGTGTGTGTGTGTGTGTGTTTGTGTGTGTGTGTGTGTGTTTGTGTGTGTGTGTGTGTGTGTGTGTGTGTGTGTGTGTGTGTGTGTGTGTGTGTGTGTGTGTGTGTGTGTAAAAACGTGTATGGTATGCATTTAGCGTGGTTGTGTGTGTGCGTGTGTGTGTGTAAGCATGTGTATGGTATGTATAAAGTGTTTGTGTGTGTGTGTGTGTGTGTGTTTCTGTCTGTGTGTCTGTCTGTAAGCATGTGTATGGTATGTAAAAAGTGTGTGAGTGTGTGTGCACGTGTATGTCTGTCTTTGTGTGTGTGTGTGTGTGTGTGTGCGTGTGTGCGCATGTGTATGGTATGTATAAAGTGTGTGTGTGAGTGTGAGTGTGTGCGCACGTATGTATGTATGTGTGTGCGTGCGTGTGTGTGTGTGTGTGTGTGTGAGTGTGAGTGTGTACGCACATGTATGTATGTATGTGTGTGCGTGCGTGCGTGTGTGTGTGTGTGTGTGTGTGTGTGTGTGTGTGTGTGTGTGTGTATGTGTATGTGTATGGTATGTATAAAATGCGTGTGTGTGTGCAGCTGCAGGAGCGTGTTCAGGCAGAGCTGGATGAGTGTGTCGGTGTGGATCGTCCTCCGTGTCTCTCTGATCGTCCTCATCTGCCGCTGCTGGACGCTGTGCTCTGTGAGGTGATGCGCATCCGTCCCGTCAGCCCAATCCTCATCCCGCACGTCGCTATGCAGGACACCAGGTAACCATGGCGATACCCAGTCAAACCCGCCGGTTGCCATGGTAATGGGGAGAAAGCATAATTAGCATATGAGATGCACAGCTGTGTGGGCTGTCGTTACCGTTCACTGCAGATGTCGACACTACAGCCACCGCACAGGAACGCACACTAGAGTAATAAAGAGTAAACGCTGTAGTGTTTTTGAGCTGTACTAGAGTAAAGTACTTGACTTAATATGGGGATTCTACAGTTGCCATGGTAACATAACTATAGTAATTAATCTGTTGTGATGATTCTACAGTTGCCATGATAATGCAACAGCTATAGTAATGTTGTAGTGATTCTACAGTTGCTATGGTAACACAACAACTATAGTAATTGATCTGTCGTGGTGATTCTACAGTTACCATTGTAACACAAACTAGTAATTGATATGTTGTTGTAATTTTATGGATGCCATGGTAACACAACAACTGTAGTAATTGATCTGTTGTGGTGATTCTACAGTTGCTATGGTAACACAATGATAGTATTTAATCTGCTGTGGTGATTCTGCAGTTGCTATGGTAACACAGCAAGTACAGTAATTGATCTGTTGTGATGATTCTACTGTTGCTATGGTAACACAACAACGATAGTAATTAAACTGTTGTGGTAATTCTACTGTTGCTATGGAAACACAACAACTTTAGAAATTCATCTGATGTGGTGATTCTACATTTGCAATGGAAACACAACCAGCAATTGATATGCTTTTGTAATTCTATGGTTGCCATGGAAACACAAAAACTGTAGTAATTGATCTGATGTGGTGATTCTACAGTTGCCATGGCAACACAACGACTGTAGTAATTGATCTGTGGTGGTGATTCTACAATTGCCATGGTAACATGACAACCCTAGTAATTGATCTGTTGTGGTAATTCTATAGTTGCTATGGTAACACAACTATATATCTGCTGTAGTGTTATAAAGATCGCATTGATTTTATTACAAACATCCTAAATTCATCTTACTTTTTGTCAAAAATGTTTTATTGTTATTTTATAAATAAAATATTATATTAATACTATTATTCTATGATTATTATAAATATTATATTAGCACCAGTGCACGCATTTCTGCTCAGTTTGAGTGTGCAATTAAAAACTGAGCTGTTCTTTCCTTATTATCTCATACTATATAAGCTATTAAAGCCATTATGTCACAGCTATCTGGTATTTTTCTAGTTTTTGAAAAAACCCAGATTTCATATTAAAAGCAAATGTAGCTTAATATGTTAATGTGTTCAAACACACACACACACACACACACACACCCACACACACACACGTGCATCATTAAGGAAACAAAATAAACTCAGTGAGCGATATCTGTAGTTCCACAAGCGCGTTGTAGGTTTAAAGTAAATTGTTTTGTTTTTTTCTGCCTTTACGTGACTCTGATTACCCATAATGCCTGTTGTGCGTGACTCTGATTACCCATAATGCCTGTTGTGCGTGACTCTGATTACCCATAATGCCTGTTGTGCGTGACTCTGATTACCCATAATGCCTGTGTTGTGCAGTTTGGGGGGTCACAGTGTTCCTAAAGGGACGCGTGTTCTGGTGAACATGTGGGCGATTCATCACGACCCCAAACACTGGGACCAGCCTGAGCAGTTTAACCCTGGTAAGAAAACCCTGCACTCTGCATTTACTATAGTGAACTAAAGACTAACAACAGACAGAACACACAGTGGACATTATAATGTCGTCTGAACTCTATCAGAGATGTTTAGCTAAGGTTTGGGGTCAGTGTTAGTAATGTCCAGCTGCAGATGATTGTGTGTGTGTGTGTGTGTGTGTGTGTCCACAGAGCGCTTCCTGGAGCCATCAGGGAAGAAGAAGACTCAGTCCAGCTTCCTGCCGTTCGGTGCGGGTCCGCGGGTGTGTGTTGGAGAATCTCTAGCCAGAATTGAGCTCTTTCTGTTTGTCTCTCGCCTCCTGCAGCGCTTCAGCTTCAGCTGTCCATCAGAGGCTTCATTGCCGGATCTGCAGGGCCGCTTCGGGGTGGTGTTACAGCCTGAGCGCTACACGGTCACAGTCACACCTCGACACTGACCCTCAGGGTTGCCGGATCACAGAATATTTTCAGGCCCATTGAAAATCTGCCCAAATATATGCAGGGGGACTTTTATTTTTGAACAATCCGGATGGGCCTTATGGTACCAGAAATGTATCGCTAGCTGAAAAACCCATTTGAGCTGTTAGATATTGATGGACTCCCCCAAACAGAATAAAAAAAGGAGGGTGACCATATTGATATTGTGGCAAACATACCTTATATATATATATATATATATATATATTCATTTATACAACAGTTCTGTCTGGTTCTTGAATCTGATTGGCTGATAGCTGTGTAATATTTTGCCAGTAACATCACACAAAGGCCGCTTCACCCTTCACTGTGTATTACTCCGCCCATACAGCCAGCAACATGCAGAGACGCTACTGTTTGACATGACAATGTGCTTTTGAGGCTTTTTTAGTGGAGAATGTCGTTGTTTAGATTGCAGTTTATTTGTAAGAATAGTGGCTGTTTTAAAATATTTACAATTTCTGAGAGAGCTCATCAGCGGCCAATTGCCTGCCACAGTTTAGTACAGGGGTTCCCGAGCTTTTTAGCCCGCGACCCCCAAAATAACAACGCCAGTGACTCGCGACCCCTAATATCCTCTGAGATGATTATAAATACAGAAACCTTGCATGCAATGACGCAGACACACCAATTAATTTTTTTATTTATGTCAGTGCTGTAAATGTGCCGGAAAGTTTACCTGGTGTTATAAAATCAACCTGTTACATCTGACGCTATTGCTGTCTTTAATATGATGTAATTACCCCAGGGGTCACAATCCAATAGAACTATTAACTATAAGCTACTATAGTAACTATATAGTATATTGTAGTGACTATTTTTTCTCTTCAGTTGGTTATGAATAAAATATGGTAATTCTTATGGTGACCCCCCTTCATTGTCCCGCGACCCCTTGGGGGGTCCCGACCCCCACTTTGAGAACCACTGGTTTAGTAGACTAAAGATGGTTGACTTTGTCTATCCACAAGATGGCGCCAGTGAATGCTGAAGTCTGTTAACTGATTGTATTGTAATGAAACACTAGCTTCACTGTAGAAGAATGGCTCAAAATCCCTGTGGCCGCTGTGCAGGACTTGTGTCTGTCATTCACAACACCAGCTGATGCTGGATTGAGGAGAAGCTACACCATAATAATGAATTACTGTACTTGACAACCAGGCCTTTCAGTTTCATTGTCCAACCCCTGTGTGTGTGTGTGTGTGTGTGTGTGTGTGTGTGTGTGTGTGTGTGTGTGTGTGTATATATATATGTTCACTGGCCACTTTATTAGGTACACCTGTCCAACTGCTTGTTAACGCAGATTTCCAATCAGCCAATCACATGGCAGCAGCTCACTGCATTTCGGCATGTAGACATGATCAAGACGATCTGCTGCAGGTCAAAGTGAGCATCAGAATGGGGAAGAAAGAGGATTTAAGAGACTTTAAACGTGGCATGGTTGTTGCTGCCAGACGGGCTGCTCTGAGTATTTCAGAAACTGCTGATCTACTGGGATTTTCACGCACAACTATCTCTAGGGTTTACAGAGAATGATCTGACAAAGAGGAAATATCCAGTGAGCGGCAGTTCTGTGGGTGCAAACGCCTTGTTGATGCCAGAGGTCAGAGGAGAATGGCCAGACTGGTTCCAGCTGATAGAAAGGCAACAGTAACTCAAATAAGCACTCGCTACAACCGAGCTCTGCAGAAGAGCACCTCTGCAATCCTCAGAATTTGTCCTCAACAACATGAAAGCATGGATCATCCTGCCTTGTATCAGCGGTTCAGGCTGGTGGTGGTGGTGTAATGGTGTGGGGGAGATTTTCTTTGGGTCCATTAGTACCAATTGAGCATCAACGCCACAGCCTACCTGAGTATTGCTGCTGACCATGTCCATCCCTTTATGAGCACAGTGTCTCCATCTTCTGATGGCTACTTCCAGCAGGATAACGCAGCATGTCAAAGCTCAATCATCTCAGACTGGTTTCTTGAACATGACGATGAGTTCACTGTACTCAAATGGCCTCCACAGTCACCAGAGCTCAATCCAATAGAGCAGCTTTGGGATGTGGTGGAACGGGAGATTGGCATCATGGATGTGCAGCCGACAAATCTGCAGCAACTGTGTGATGCTATCATGACAATATGGAGCAAAATCTCTGAGGAATATTTCCAGCAGCTTGTTGAATCTACGCCATGAAGGATTAATGCAGTTCTGAAGGCAAAAGAGGTCCGACCCAGTACTAGTGTGGTGTACCTAATAAAGTGGCCGGTGAGTGTATATATATATATATATATATATATATATATATATATATATATATATACAAAATTTTCTTTAAAGCAATCACATTTAAAGTCCTATAATTATTTATTATGAATTATAATAACAGTCTTTCTCTCTCTCTCTCTCTCTCTATATATATATATATATATAAATTGTTTTGCAAAAAAGCAGGTCAGTGTATTGTTGTTTTGTTTATGTTTAGATTTATTAGTTGTATTAATAAAACAGTGATAAACTATATTTCAGTCACCATTCATCAGTTCTCTGAAAACACCAGACACTCATAAAACACTGTTTACTATCACACACACACACACACACACACACACACAGCAGTGTGCAGGCAGAGATTAGGAGACGGGCTCATTGTGTGGTTTGATTAAAGCGTTTAGTGTTTAAATGTTTGATTACATCAACAACACACACACACACACACACACACACACACACACATCAGAGCGGCTCACCATGGAAATGCAACAGTGATGCTGGAAACATCGTCAATATTCTAGAGTTGGAGCACAGAATCTCTGGACAACAATAAACAGCAGCACAGCACACACTCCTGACAGCATGCTCACGAGAGAGATGTTTCTCACACACACACACAAACGCACGCAGCGCATAGAGTCTGCAGCTACTGGAGATCTGCTTGTGTAAATCTGTGTCCACATATACTGATTTATTCACCACACACACACACACACACACACACACACACACACACACACACACACTGCTGCTCTGAGGGAAACCTGACGAGTGTGTGTGAGATCACAGTTTACTTCAGCTCAGCACATCTGCAGCATCATTACACACACATACACACGCGCACACTCACTCACACACAAAGAAACTTACTCGCATACACCCACACACACCAACTCATGCACATTCACTCACATTTGCACACACACACACACACACACATTCAAACTCTCACACATTTGCACACTCACACACATCCTTAAACTCATACCAAAACAATCTCATATACTTACACAATCACTCACACACACACACACACACACACACACACACACACACACACACATACACACACATACTCGCGCTCACAGACCCTGACTCATATACACTCACATCCACACATATTTACTGTCACACACACACACACACCCCAAACTCAAACATGCACACACACCACACTCAAACACGCACACACACACACCACACTCAAACACGCACACACACACACCACACTCAAACACGCGCACACACACACACACCACACTCAAACACGCACACACACACACCACACTCAAACACGCACACACACACACCACACTCAAACACGCGCACACACACACACCACACTCAAACACGCACACACACACACACACACACACCACACTCAAACACGCACACACACACCACACTCAAACACGCACACACACACCACACTCAAACACGCACACACACACACCACACTCAAACACGCACACACACACACCACACTCAAACACGCACACACACACCACACTCAAACACACACGCACACACACACACCACACTCAAACACGCGCACACACACACCACACTCAAACACGCACACACACACACCACACTCAAACACGCACACACACACACCACACTCAAACACGCACACACACACACCACACTCAAACACGCACACACACACACCACACTCAAACACGCGCACACACACACCACACTCAAACACGCACACACACACCACACTCAAACACGCACACACACACCACACTCAAACACGCACACACACACACCACACTCAAACACGCGCACACACACACCACACTCAAACACGCACACACACACACACACACACACACCACACTCAAACACGCACACACACACCACACTCAAACACGCACACACACACCACACTCAAACACGCACACACACACACCACACTCAAACACGCACACACACACACCACACTCAAACACGCGCGCACACACACACACCACACTCAAACACGCACACACACACACACACACACACACACACACCACACTCAAACACGCACACACACACACCACACTCAAACACGCACACACACACACACACACACACCACACTCAAACACGCACACACACACACACCACACTCAAACACGCGCACACACACACACACACACACACCACACTCAAACACGCACACACACACCACACTCAAACACGCACACACACACACCACACTCAAACACGCACACACACACACCACACTCAAACACGCGCACACACACACACACCACACTCAAACACGCACACACACACACCACACTCAAACACGCACACACACACACCACACTCAAACACGCGCACACACACACACCACACTCAAACACGCACACACACACACACACACACACACACACACCACACTCAAACACGCACACACACACACCACACTCAAACACGCACACACACACCACACTCAAACACGCACACACACACACCACACTCAAACACGCACACACACACACACCACACTCAAACACGCACACACAAACACCCCAAACTCAAATACGCACACACCACACTCAAACACGCACACACACACACCACACTCAAACACGCACACACACACCACACTCAAACACGCACACACACACACCACACTCAAACACGCACACACACACACACACACACACACCACACTCAAACACGCACACACACACACATCACACTCA